AAAAAAAAAAAAAAAAAAAAAAAAAAAAAAAAAAAAAAAAAAAAAAAAAAAAAAAAAAAAAAAAAAAAAAAAAAAAGTTAAATACTTTTTTTTTTCTATTAATATAACAAAAATAATTTTATTTTTTTTAATTATTATTTAAAAGAAGCAAATAAGCTTATTAAAAATCTTAAGTATAAATTTTTAAAAAAATTTTAATCAAACAAATAAGTATAAGTCTTCTAATTATTTTATTACAATAGAAATCAAATTTAATATTTTTAAAAGTCAAATTAATAAAAATTCATTAAATTTCAAACAAATTATTGTTAAAATGAAAAATAAATATTGTTACTGTCTTGAAAGAGCAAAATGATAATTGTGTCAATTTAAACTTGCAGCAAGCAAAATGTTTTTATAAAATAAAAGAAAATAGAATAAAAAAGAATAAAGAAAAATATTTAAAGAAATATTAAAGAAAATCAAAAAAAGATGAAATTTACAATTAAATATATTGAAGCTTTTAATTTCTTTCTTAATAGACTTCAAAATTATTAATAAAAATAATTTTTAATTCTCAATAATTTAATTTATTCAATATATGTTTTGTTTCAAATATTATTAAATAAATTAATATAAATAATTCAAAATTATTGTTTTAGTCAATTTCACAATTCTGCTTTGATATTAGTATCAAAAAATAACAATATAAATTTTGAATTTTAATAGAAAAACAATAGAAAAATATAAAAGAAAATATGTAATAAATATAATTTTATTAAAAGAAAATTAAAGAAAATACAAAAATTCAGAATTTTATAATTATGATAATTGTCCTTTTTCATAGCTGAAGGAAATTGTAGTCTTTTTATAATATTTTGATCAATTGTAGGTTACTTCTAATCTAATTATTTATGTGTAGTTCGCCTATTTACACAAAATATTTGGCTAAAAATTATTTGTTACACTTAGAATCATTATTAAAGAAAATTCTCATCCATAAGAGAAAAAGCTAAATTACTCAAAATATTATTTTTCTAATAACAAAAGTTGTTCTTCTAATTTTTTTACAAATAGTTACTTAAAACCTTAAAGAAGCTTCAAAACATAATTTTTAAGTTACAACATTTTGAATTTGTTATACCATTCAAAACTATATAGGGATTTTGAGAATTCTTAAAGAAAAAAGTATTTTATAGAAAGTATAGTTAATAATAATAAATTTTGATAATATATGCTAGTATCTATTAAAAGTTAATAAAATTTTCAAAAATTTTTATAATATACAAATTAAATAAAAATATTTATTTTTAATATAATAATAATGTAAAATATTTTATTAATAAAAAAAAATTTTTTTTAAAAAAATTATAAATTAATTTTTTAATAGTTTTAATTTAACCTTTTTTTTTTTTGTAGTTAAACATTATTTCTTTATTTATTTATATAATAATAGATATATATTGTAAAATAAACAATATTTCTCATATATATTAGAGCAAAGAATTAAATGTTAGCTTACTTACAATAACCACTAGACTAATATTGAAAAGGAATTTTTAAAACAATATATCTTGTCAAGTAACTCTAAGCAGCTATGATTATCTACTCAATATTGGGTGGGAGGAAGTTAAAGAAATCTGAAATTAGTTTAAAAATGTATTTAGTAAAGTTAAATCCACTTTGAATATATGAGTTAGCTACGATGGTAGATATGTTTATAATAGTTGATGTTAATATGGAGTTGTTATTGGGTGGTTTAGTTTTGGCTAAATTTTTGGTGATTTGTTTTGTTATATTATTATGAAGATTGTTGTCTTATTTGATGCCAGTGAGAGGAGAGGTGTTTGCTGTGGCACAGCAGAATGACCAAATTGACTTGTATAGATGAGTTAAGGTCTTAGTTGAAGCTTTAATCCAATTGGAGAAATTAGTTGTGAAGAAGATATTATCTATAATGTCACATGTCAGCTCTGCTAGTTGCCAAGTTTTAACTTAATTTTTATTTAAAAACTTTGAATTATTATTAAAAAAAAAAGATAAAATTAAAATTAATTAAAAATATGGCTGATTCTTTTTGAAAACGACAAAAATGTTATATACGATTTTTTGATCCCTATTTTTTGAACAATACATATACAATATAAATTTTAGGAGTACAATTATAAAATCAGAAAAATCCCTGTCCGCCTTCAAAAAGAATTACCCATATAAGTAATTATTTTTGAAGGTGACAAAAATGCTAAATATGATTTTTTTGAACCCAACTTTTAAAACAATATATATATAATATAAATTTTAGGATCACACCAGAAAATTTCCGGTCCACCTTCAAAAATAATTACCCATATTTTAAAATTTAAATAATTTATGATAAAATAAAATAACTATAAAATAATAATATGTAATTAAAATAACAATAATGATAATTAATTAATAAGAATTAAATAAGAATTTATGTTAATATATTTTTTATTAATTTCTATGAATAATTTTTTTAGTCAAAAAATTTGATTATACATTGTATATTATATATACTGTATATTGTTAAAATAATTATTTGATTAAAACATATATTTTTGAGAATTTTGAAATTAGCAGCAAAATAATTTATGTCTCATGCATAGTAGATTGTACAGTATAGATAAGTTACTAACAATAGCAGAATTTTTTTATATTGTATATGTCTAATGATTATTCGATCGTTTGGTAACGGGTAACAATGTTACGATCTTTTACGTAATGATTATGTAATCGACATAATGTGATACAATAACACTCTAAATTATAATTTTTGCAACCTATATCTGTTACACTCTATTCATTATATTCTGATTTGCTAATTTCGTAGCTGATGTGAATTCGACTGTTCGAATTACACTACTTTGCTTTTAAAATTGTAATTTTCAAATTTGATGTTATTGGTTCGCAACCCTGGTGAATTTCCGGAAATCATGTAGAAAATTTCATTAGCGCGAGATAAAGGTATTCGTTGTTCTCCTCATGTGGACAAATTGGATCGGTCAACCTTGCTAAACTAGTCGACTTTGAATGAACGGCTTGGCATACCTATTACAAGAGTTACCATCAAGAAAATCTCCACGCATGACATATTATTTGTAAACACACTGCTGTATGTAGGTGCTCTCTATCATTAAAAAAAAAAAGAATTTCTTTACCATATACATAATGTATTATCCTCTTTTTATAAACGAATATTACTTTCTCCGTGTCCAACATTTTTTTTATTATATGAAGCCACAACTTTCAGAGGAAATTAAACTAGTCTTAAACATATAAATAAATATACAACACATTCCCTTTGTTTCATGAAATGAAACATGCAATGTAAACTCGTATTTTATCACGTGATATTAAATTTTTAAGGCAATTGACCGCTTTCAAGTGTGATTATGTAAAAAGAATATTCAGGGAAACCTTGATGCTCGTTGACAACTACGCTTTAATTTAATTAAATGATAATTTTACAACTAATTAAAAAAAATAATTTTTTTTTATGCTATAATTAAAACAAATGATTTTACAGTAAAAAAATGCAATTAGCTTAATAATATGTTTCTTAAAAAAAAAAAAGAATCATAAAAATTCCAAAAAACTGCTTCCATCATTTATTCCATCATGTACATAAATATCAATAATACCGAACCTCCTGATTTCTTTTGATCGTTTCTTGATATGGTCGTTAATTATTCCGGAAAACAATGTGCCTTTTCCAATGACAGTAACGACAGTAGGGTCGATATCGGAAAATCCCCAAGAAAGATATTTGAGATCGGGGCCATGGTTTAAAAGAATGCCTAATGATTCGGGATTTATTGACCATCTTTTAAGATCTAGATGTGAGATTCCCAACGGTAAGTTTGAGATGAACCACCGGATGACAGAAGTAGAGACTCGAATAAATCTTGAAGGTTCCAATGGGTGAATCATCAATTTCGTTAATTTTGTGCAAGCTTTCAGTATGGGAAGAAGTTTTGGAATTTGTTCTTCGTTTTGCAAATTCAATTCTAGAGTTGTAATGGAAGGACAATTTGTCGCGATGGATTCAATAATTTCAAAATATTGATCGTGACTGAGATTGACAATGAGTTGTTCGAGATTTTTGTTGCAATTCTTGATAATTTCCTGAACTTGCTCCGTCGGTACATCCTCTGAATTCATATACGTCAAGGATGGATTAAAATAATAAAGTTCCAATTTTTTTATGTGAGAAAATCTGGTAAGCGCTAGTGGGTGCAAGAGAGCGGAAGTTACAAAATCACATTGCCTAATTGAAAGTGTCGTTAAATTCCGACATTTGGCCAACCCTTGAAGTGGTTCGCAATATTCGAAAGAGCAGTGATATATACCGACTTTCTTCAGATGTTTAGCTTGACTTCCCAGTGAATTCATGACTTTGGACATGTCTCGAAGGTTACACTCCCATAAAAAGATTTTCTGTAAATTCCTTTGAGCTCGAATCAACAATACTATCCCATCACTTATAGGAACCCCGAATAATTTAATGTTCATGTATGTAATGTTCTTACAAACTTTAGATAGTGTATATAAAGGATCAAAAAAATCTTCATAACATGCATAACTATCATCAATTCCTCGATAATCCAAAAAATCCAAATTTTGTAGACAAATGGGATTAATTTGTTCACATAATTCATTTAAGATATTGAAAAAAACCGGCGGTAACCTTCCAACATCTAAGTAGATGTAATCAAGTCGGTAGCACCTTTTGAAAATTAGATCCAAAGTCTTCTTGATCAAAGAAATTTTTTGATAATCTTCAGGTAATGTAAGCTTCTCGCCTGTATTTTCGGTAGAATAGGTTGAAATGAAATTGGAGATTCCATCATAAAGTTCCTCAAAATCCAATTCCTTTAGAAACGATGGATAATCAAATAACGGGAATGAATCAAGCGAGATGCAGGAAATATATGTTCGAATGATGAGGCCACTAGAAAAATCATTCATAGTCAAACGTGACTTCAAGCCTGCAAGGTTTAATGGCTTTTTCCACAAGACTGGAACTACGTTAGCACACCAATCCCTATTGACAAAAAGACACGAATGAAGAGTTTTGCAGTCATATTGAAGATTAATTAAAATATTGTGAAGACATTCTGGTGATAGATAAGGTGGCATTCTTATTATTGTCTCGATCTCGAATAAGCTAAAAACAAAGTAACGAAAAGAATGAAATGCCTTGCTTATTAATTTATTTAATAGCCGTTTATTTAAATGTCCAGAATTTCGGAAAATTAAAATTTTCATTTATCGGACACGAATTAACATTTATTTGTGCTTCGGAACAACCTTAGTAGGCAAAGACAACTTATGTAATGTAAATATTCTCTTAGTAATGCGCGAAAAATTCTAGAGAACACAACGGAATGTCTTCCTTCGTCGATGCTGCTTAGTAAGGGTACAAATACAGTACGTCTGCGTTACTCTACGCTCTGAATTAATGAACTTTTGATTGTGTTATGCCCCCAAACACGTTCTTTTTTGTGAATAAATTCGGTTTCATTTACAATATTTGTGTGCATATCTATGTTTATAATGTCGAGGCATGCGGTAATTTTAACGGCAACAAAATTCTGGTGATTGTACCAATTTAACTTACACAGAATCCTTTCAAACACTAAGAATGAGAAATTCCGTGATTACACAAACACGTATAATGGATGCTGTTTCTCAAATTGGACGTAATTTTGTCAGAAAATATTCTATGCATACTATGCATACTGTATATGAGTATTACGTTTAAAATAGTAATGAAATTAATATCTCCTACAGTGTTGTTGAGATAAAAATACATTAGGATTATGCAATATTATGCCGTTAAAGTTACAATTATTACTTTTTTTACTTATTGCTATAGAAATCTCATAAATCATTATCGCGTATTAGCAAATAAATTATGTACGATGAGCCCTTAAGGTAAATTTAATATAGTTAAATCGAAAATAAATGAATACAAAAATATGAAAGTTAACAATCATTTTATAACTTTATTAGTTTTTTTCATTACAAATCAAACTATTTATAACATTGACAGGTTGATACTGTATATATTGATTTGTTAATCATATAATAAAGATAAGTTGTGAAAACGATTTATGTAACTCGGCTTGTTCACTTACATGCATATTCGTTAAATAATATTTTCGATTTTCAATATAACGATAACTCAATATTTAATTGGTTAAAATGAAAAATCGATTTTTCTTAAGATTATTATTTGTTTAAAAATTTTAATATTGACAACGATCATATAAATAATTTTTGTTACTTAACAAAATTTATAATAATATAAAGATTATAGATAAAAAGCTTTATAATAATTTTATTATAATCAATATTATATTTTTTTGATTTAAATACTTTAATCATCTTTAATTTTGTTATATTTATATATTATATCACATATATTATTTTTTTTATAAAATCACTTAATTTTTGTTTAAAAGTATTATAAATTTTAATTTTAATAATAATTTTTTTTTTACAAAATACATTTATAATTATATAATATTTAGTAAATTTGAAATTTGTTTATATAAAATTTTAACTTATTCACAATTAATTACTTGTTTTAAATTTACAATAGATTACTTAATATTAGTTTGTTATTTTTTTTATTTTTTTTTTTTTGTAGGTAAACATCATTTCTTTATTTATTTGTATAATGATAGATATATATTGTGAAAGAAACAACATCTCTCATGTGTATTAGTACAATGAGTTAAATGCTAGCTTGCCTACAGTAACCACTAGA